CTTCCACGTATTACGTATCTCAAGATTTGATTTTATTAGCCCTTAAACTTTAATGTAATCTCTTATCTATTAGCAAACTTACAAAGGACACATATTATGTTACTATTTTTTTTTTCCTACTCATTATAAATTCTAGGAGGTGATCTCAGGGAAGAAAATTGGCAACACTAAAGAAAATATTGGAATCCACATCATAAATGCTGATGAAAATCTTACATTAGAAAATAAAGCATACTTAATATGTTAAAGAAAGCACAGTTATGTTATAACATATCAGTCTTGGTCATCCAAACTTTATATGTCTCAAAAATTTATTTTAATGTTCATTCAGTAATAAAAATATAGAATTATTTCACTGTGAAACTTGTTAACTATCAAAACACGCCAAGAAGGCAAGAACAACTATCATAGCCATCCTATAACCCCTCTCAAAAAATTATTAGGTGCCCTCTTGTGTGACGAATATCTCTAACAAGATATTTAAGTCTAGGTGGTTCATATCCTCTATAGATGTTCACGCCAAAGCTTTTTGAATCTTCTTAATAAAAAAAATCTTGAACATATCACATGGTTCAGAAAATTCATCTCTATTTACAAATTCAGTTCAAAATCTAAATCCAAATCCTCAAGACTAACAATAAGAAAGAATATTTTCATTCAATTATTGGGAAGTACCTTCTTGAAAAAGGGGTTGTCAACAAAGCCCTTGCAGATATAATTATCAGCTGAATGGAATTACTAAACAAAAAAATAAGAAGTTTATGAAATTTGCTAAATCAATCATGATTTCTATCAGTTTTCTAAATCGGCATTGAGGAGAGGCTTAATGGATGCCATATCTCATTAACCAAAAGCCGTTAAGGATTCTTAAATTCATAACCCCTTGTCAAGTCCTCATTGAAACATATTAAAAAAATAGACACATCTCGATAATTTCAATCCAAGTTTTTGGATATTCTGCTTCTGTCCACATCTCGCCCATTAACAAAGTAAAGTTGAACAAAGATCATTAAATGCATCTTTATTGGTTATTCTCCCAACCAAAAAGGATAGAAATTTCACTATTATCCTATAAAGAACAAAATTTACACTTCTATAAATATCATATTTTTTTAAAACCAACAATTCTTTCACAAAACTCACATTCAATAAGAGAATTTTAATGCTCTTCATGAATACAAGTTTTTTATCCATCCCACTGACCTCTAGCCTCTGTCTCTCCCTAATTTCTCTGAAGCTCAAAACCCGACCACATTGAAAATTCTCAAAATCACACACAGAAAACCATATATAAAAGCATAATTTATACAAGCCGTCAGGAAAATTCGACAAACAATTATAAACAAAGCATTTCTCCACAACAAAATCACCTATTTGAACCAAGTTCCAATTATCCTTTGTAAGGTAACATTAATTTTGATCTTGATATCCCGATTGTTTATAAGAAAGGTACGAGGATAACAAAATCTTGTATAAAACATTTGACCATTGAATACATATCTTATAACAACTTATCTCCCTAGTTTTATACTTACAATTAATCTTTTCAATATGAACAATCCCAACTTGAATAGAGAGATGTGGATCAGGAAGAAATGAAAGCACTGGAAAAAAAATGGCATCTAACAATTCTCAATGTTATCAAAAAAAAAAAAAATAGTTGGATCCAAATGAATCTTCAATAACAAATACAAAAATCTTCAATAACAAATACAAAACCGATAGGGCGTTGAAAAATACAAAGCTAGAGTGGTTGCAAATGAATTTACCGAAACTTATGCATTGATTATCGAAAATATTTGTACCAGTTGCTAAGATTAACTCCATTTAATTCATCCTCTCTATAGTTGTAAATTTTGATTAGCCTCTTCACCAATTAGATATAAAAAATGCCGGTCAAAATGGAAATCTTAAAGAAGAAGTATACGTAAATATTCCTAATGGATTCAAGACCACCGTCAACCGACAACAACATTAAAGTCTGTAAACTAATGGAATCATTATATAGCCTAAAGAAATTGTTAATAGCCTGGTTCAAGAGATTTACTACTATAATTAAAAAACACAGATACTCCCAAGGGCATGCTAATCACATATATTTGTGAAGAAATCACAATGTTGGTCAAATCACTATCGTGATTATCTATATTGATGATATTATCCTAACTGGTAATGATGATGAATAAATCAAAAGACTAAAAAGGAATCTTAACCAATGAATTTGAAATTAAAGATATAAGAGCACTAAAATATTTCCTAAGTATAAAAATCGCAAGATCGAAGAAAGTTGCATGTCTTTCAACAAAAATACACATCGTCTAAGCAAATATTGGGATGATGGAATGCAAGCCCGTAAATACACATGTAGATCTTATCAATAAAAGAGGATCAAAATGGTGATAATCTCCAAGTTGATAAAGAAATGTACTAGCATCTATTTGAAAAAGTTATTTATCTAGATATTCATCCCAACATCTGTTACTATATCAAAGTGATTAGTTGATTTATAATAAGCCCACAACTTGATGCACTCTACAGTATATTTAGATATCTTAAAAGAACTAGGAAAGATCTATTTTTCGAAAAAGAAAACAAATAAGAGCATTAAACTCTTTACCAATGATAGCTATGCTGGATTCATAATTGATCGAAAAATCATCTCTAACTTGCTCATTCATATGAGGAAATCTTGTAACCTGGAGAAGTAAAAAATAGGCAAGAGTTGCTAGAAGTAGTGCTGAAGCATAATTCAGAGCCATCGCTCATGAAATTTGTAAATAAATGTGGCTTAAGAGATTTTTGAAAGACCTGAACATCTACATTAAAGAAGAACCAATGTTATGATGTGTCAACCAAGTTACAATTAACGTTACCAAACATTCAATCCAACTTGATAGAATAACGCATGTGAAATTCATAGACATTTTATAAAAGAAAAAAAATCAACCGATCATTCAAATAATATATACTCCAACAAAATTTAAATTGCAAATATCTTGACCAAAGTCCTTGATCAATTACAAATTAAAAACAATCAACATATATTCCCGGCTTGGGGGAAAGTGTGAAAATTGTATAGAGCACAACTATGGCTCATCTAAATCTTCATTAAGCAATACGTGTGCTTTAATTATATAAATCACATTATGAATATCCACTTCAACAATCCATCCATTCTCATCTTCCTTGTTTGTCCCCATTAATTGTGTATTGAGTCTTTCTTAATTTTAGGACTAATAATTATCATTGTTTAGCACCTATAAATATATACTTCTTTTAAAGTTTGAATAAAGTGAAAAAATGTTTCAATTGTTAACCGAATAGGCTCTTAAGATTCCATGTTAAGAATGCATAAAAAGGGTGTAAATGCTTGGTTTTTATGAATGCATGCACGGCCATGTTTTTTACATGTCAAAAACAGGATTTTATAATTAAATACCAAACCAATAACTCATTGTTATCACATGTCAGCTGTTTCAGCTCCAGCATATGCAACACAGATCAGCAAACAAAAACGAAAGCACAAATATTGGAAGCGTGATAAAAATATATTAGATTGAGTTTTATCACGATAAATGATTGAGTAATAAAGAATATTCTAAAATTACCAAGGAAACGTCTACGAAAAATATAATGATAGTTAATGAAACTTCACTAAAAGGATATTTTATTACTTCCAGGGTAAAAAACTTCAACACTTTATTATCAAAATCTATAATTAAAACACCATCATGTAAGGAATAGAAGCCATATTCTTTAAGCCTCCTGCATCTGTAATGCATAAACAGAGTATGTGCCCTTGTATGAATGCATTAATGTAAATGCTTAGTGGTTTTCAAAGACTGTTTTTTTTTTCTCTCTCCTTTTAAAGCCTAATAAAAGTGCAATATATGTCAGAGAAGCAAACCTTCATAACTGGAATAATGATCTTATGTTTTAACCATGATACTGAAAAAGCAAAAATAAAAATAGACCAAAATCATCATAAGCAAATTATTCAAACATATGCATGAAAGCAATTTTTGTAGAACGTACGTTTTCTGCAAAATAATCACATATCATCCTCAGTCCGCTTGATATGAAGCAAGAAGAAAGCCATTTTCTTCTTCTCATTCCAACGACAAAAATAAATAAGTTTGCTTTATCCTGCACAAAGGATTTAAAGATAGAACTATGTTGTGCATAAGAAATAGTAGGTAGAAAGTTACTTAGTGGCCAAGTGTGCATGTTGGAAATCACGACTATTGGGTATGCAAACCTTCAAATCACAATCGCCATCAAGTTGTGTTACAGTCCTCTTCACTGAGATGCATCTGTAACTTCCAACAAAGGTCAATACCAAATAGAACCAACCAAAAGAAATTAAGATGTACCAATATTTAAGCTGAACAGAAAAGGTGTATTTCACATTGTAAACGTAGCATCACCCATAGGTAACAGCATAAAAACAAGGATATCAATATCAATATCAAATAGATCATCCCAAGCACCATTACACTAGCCGGAAAAAACTGCCTCTGTTACAAGTATGCACAGTATAGGAAATCAGTCATTTTCCCTTTTCCCCATATACTACATCATTTAACAGATATGGCAATGTTGAACTGACACGACACAAATGAATGAGATCTTAAACTGAGTTTCTAGAACTTGACAAAAGCATAATCTTATCCAATGTTGCATCAATAAGTTCAGCATATTTCAAGTTACTTCATCACATCTGAAAGCACATGTCTACTAGATAAAACCTAAACCTACCTGCACTAAAGGAAGAAATATAATCTGTAAAAAATTTAAACCAGGTTAAAGGAAAATATAAAAGAAATTGTGTTTGTAATGATTTCTACTGAGCTATCCATGAAGTTTACTTGATACTCAGCGCCAAGAACACATGTAGTGAAGTTGACATAAGATTTTCAAGAAAACAATCAATTTAATAAGACAACACTCACTGAGCCTATTATAAGAAAATGCAGAAAGCCTGCCAAAAATCCAGCCTCAGTTCAAGTGGGATCGATGGGCATTAGTGTTTTAATCATTTCTATCAACCATTTATTTACAAAGTTAGTTTTACAACAGGAAAAGAGGTCTCATAGACCAATTCACAGCCATCTCTAGAAGTGGACAAAAAAGTCAAGAAATCAAGCCGATAACTAATACAAAACACAACGATCCACATGTCATCATATGGTTATTGATAATGAAGATGTGACTAATATAACATCTTCTGTAACAAGAAGCTACTTGTGATTACATAACATGTCTTTGACTGGATACAGCCCAATGCTGGACGTTCTGCAACTTCCAAATCGAATACATGATCCTGACAAGTATTTGTAGCTCAAAAGAACTTCCCATAATCCTGAGATGGCTGGTCCCAAACCCCCATAAAGCCTATACAACAAAAATAAGTTAATCAAAGTAGTGTAACCAGAGTGAGAAACAAGGAGTATTGAAAGAAAGAAGGCATGAGAATATTGAGGCCTGGCTTCAAAGCTGAAAGGCACAAGTTCTATGAGGATTCTTAAAGAATTCCTTTGCCTTTTTGAAACAAATAAAGATAATGTGAAAGTAAAACATTGACCAAGTGTTAGCATGAGATCACATATACAGATACTAATGCAAGAGAAAATTCATAGCGGTATCTTCAAAAATATTAACATCCAAAACAATTTTCAGCATACCTATTGGCAATTCGTCAAGAGAAACGTAAATGTGGTCATCTACACCAGGATAACCCTGAAGGAAGAAGAGAACCATGCGCCTATCAATTATTTATACAACACTTATAAATATAAATATCCTGCATGTTTAAATTTTAATAGCTACAATACAAAATATAATGCTACACAAGGACAAAGAGTAAAAGCATTAAAATGCTAACAGCAAAATAAAAGTGCACAATGAGAAAATTGCACCTCAGCACCATGAAGGCCCATTCCAGGCTGCATATCATTGAGGTCCCCTTGAGCTGATGGACAATCCGACATATCAGTTCCTAGAAACTCAGGAAACTCGAGGCTGTAACCATCCTGAATACTGGAAAGATCATCTGTATGTGTTGCCTGATTTAAGACATTTTCAAGGCCTTGATATGAAATATCACCCCTGCTTATGAGTAAACTCAGTGTTAGTTTGAAGTAAACATATGGATTATCTGCGTATGAATGTTCTGAGATTGTAAACCAAACCAACATATAATATGAATATTCGTATGTATTGCATATAAGGAAGCTTACTTGTGCTTAGCAGAATCAAAGGTATGGACTTCTGCATGGGAGTCTTCCTCAAGGTCAATTACTGGAATTACTTTGTTAGGGCCAGATATTTGGCTACTGTTACAAGCATTGACAGCATTTCTCATCGACATGCTTAAATCTGCTGAGACTCCATTATTCATCTCAGTTCTAGGGGCAGAAGGGACATGGTCCATAGAAGGACCTCCAGGAATCTCACTCAACTCAGGACTTCCAGTTAGGTTGAGATCACATATTTTAAATGATGCAGAAGTTTCAGGCCGAATCTCTTCTTCTAACATTACAACAGATTCTCTTTTAGCCTTTGGAGAAAAATCAGTAGAGTCCAAACTCTTTCCATTAGCTTCTTGAACCATTTCTTCATCCTGGGTGTCTTTCCCATCAAGAAGCGTGGATTCCGGGTCCCCAATCGTCTCTGGTACCAGGGATAGGCATGGGTTACCTTTCGTCTTGACATCATCAGTATCATTGTCAAAGCCAGCATCCGGATTCCCATTCAATGATTCAGTACAAATTGCTGAATCAAGAGGGCTCTCAAACAATTCATGCTGCGAGTCTGCAGCTTCTTCCAAGGATTTATCGGATTGATGGCTATGATTCTCAGGAGTCTGCATTTCAGAGCTACCAACGTCATCACAATTCAACTCCTTGCACTCGCTCTCACCAGCATCATCTAGGGCATCACTCATCTCTGCATCAGCGTCAAGATAAACCTTTGGACTCTTATTTGCAAGTGATGATCGTGGTCTGGTGGGCACTTTTGTGAAGCTGCATAGTTTCAACAGATCCTTGCAGTCGTTCATAACTACATCACCTTCCTCTTCACAAGGTTTGCTATCCATATATTCCTCCATGGACTCTTTCTTCTCAGGCTCATCATTTATTTCACTCTTTACCTCCTCAGTGATTTCCGAGCTTGAAACCCTAACTTCATCAACAACCTTGCTTGAACCCTCATCAGCCTCAGGCTGCTGATCCTTCTTGGTACTAGATGAACTTGCCTTCGACCAAGTATCATCAACCAACTCATAGTTCTCCTTCTCCGAAGCCGACTCACTCTTTGTGGGTTGCTCATCAGCCGAAACTCTCGAGACGCTACTCTTGAGCTCAACATAACCTTTCCTCCGAATCCTAATGAACTCAGGAGGGAACTCACCATCTTCTTCAGTTAGATCAGAGTAGCCTCTTCCCCTGTCCGTCCAATTTCTAGATTTACCATTCTCTCTACTCCAATCAGAGTCGTACACTCTGCTATAAGGCCCGGGTCTCTTCCTCGACTTCTCCCGCCGCCTGTAATCAAAGCGCCCCTCATCATCGAACCTTTGACCAAGCCGCGCCAGTGCAGAAGTCCTGAACTCCGGTAGCGGCGGGATTTCTCTGGCCTGGCGCTCGAATCCAGGAGGGCTTCCATTGGGAAACTTCCTTACAATGAGCTCCGGCGGGATTACGCCCCTCGAAACCAAATACTCCGCGGCGAGACGGCCAGCTTCCATGAGGATGTCGATCTTGCGTGGTAAAGGGTGCTGGTTTGGCGGGCCTCGATCGAGATCGCGGCCGTAGGACGAGATCCGACCGCCGGAGGTCGCCGACGGGCCAGACCGGAATCCCTCCCTGGGACTACGAAATCTAGACTGCATCCCTCTTAATTTCACTGTAAGCCCCTTCGAATCTCTATCGGCCTTTCAATGTTCTCAGCGATTATGTACAAATCATGCGAATTGACAACCGGGAATGGTTCTTGGAGACCCTAATTCCACGTGAGATTGGAATCTGCAAAACCTTATACGGTATGGAACGCCGCCCAACTTTAGCCGGGTGCACGGGCCTGGAGAGGAAGAACGACAACGATCCTGTATTTTTTTTTTTTTTTACATTTATGCCCGTTAAAATAAATTTACCTCACGTGCTTACTACTTATATCTTAGTTCTTTTAATGGATAATTAATGCATCTATATAAATTTATGATCATATTAATTATTATTGTTATGAACTGGATGAATTCAAGTATTTTTTTTTTTATGTTTTGAATTTAATTATAGGATTTTAATAACATATTTTTTTTATAAGCTCAATATATATGATTTAATGATTTCAGGTCATGAAAGAGACTTAGGAGTGTGAGTCTAATTAGATACAGGATTTTTCAACTTTTATTGTCATTTTGTCTTTTAATTTTTCTTTTGAGCTCAAGAGTGGTCGGACAATAATTTGCATTTGTATTACTCTTGTATGACTCTTGGCTAGTTTGTATAATTTTTTGATATTAAATATCAATGTATATTGATATTTTAATCAATAGATTTATTTTTGTTAATATTTTATTATTGAAATAAATTAGATAGCTTTAGTTGTTATTATTAAAATATAAAAGATACAATTCTTTCCAATTTAGATTCTGGGACGTGACAAATACTTGGTTCTCATCTTCTAGTGGTGCGGAGTGCGCACCGTCCGCACAAGTATTGTGTACCTAGCGCGGTACCGAGTGTCGGTACCTAGCGCAAAACAATACTTGTGCGGACAGTTCTCCCCGTCCGCACTCCGCACCTAATAATCTCTCGTTGTTGTGATACCATTTTATAATGACACCAACTCTTAACTATTGAGGTATTGCCCGTTTTGTTCTAATAGTCTCACAGCTTTGTCATGTTTGTGTAACTTCCCAGGATGTCACTCATCCTAGAATTTCTCCCGCATGAGCATGCTTAACTTTGAAGTTTTTTTAACGAAATTTCATCCATTAAATCAAAAGATATCTCGATACTTAAGAGTTTAGCTTCTTTTAACTTGAGGAGATTCATATATGATCTCTTATTCATTATCGTCCAACTACACTCTACAAATGATCATCCCTTGATTATGATCTATACCACAATTGCTCGATTACAATCTTCGAATGGTACCAATATATATCCCCAACTCACTTTATTTGCTCATTAATTATTTATGTGAAAAGTAATTCTATTAAAGAGATTGAAATCTCTCTCTATTAACTTGACTTCTCATACACATAACAATCCTAAATAATTTGAATCATTTTTTAAGATAACAAATGGCCCTAAAAACATAAGCATGATGACATCGACGACTAATTTCTTGCATAAGCGATAACGAACAAAAGATATCATATCACTTCAAGCATTTGAAGCTATGTTTTAATTTTTAATATTTTTAGCCTTATCTTAAAGAGCTATTTTGATCAAATAGCATTTACGCAATTTATTTTGTTATGTTGGTTGGGAGCTTTGGCTATAAATTAAGAGGTTTTGGATTCGAAGCTTATTTATGTGATATATGTATAAGTTTAACTTAATGGCTCAAATATATATAAAAAATAGCATTTAGTGAAGGGTAATTTTTTAAAAAAAATAAACATTGTTAATCATTTAATTAGTAATTAAACCAACAAGAAAAAAAAAATAGAACTCGCCAAAGTCGTTTGCTTGATGGGGAACTTACCCATTTGACCTAAGTCTCCAGTTTAACAGGCGACCTTGGTAAGTCGCCTATCCAACAGGTGACTTTCAATTTTTTTTTTTTTCAAATGAAAGCAACAATCAATAAATTTTATATAAATATTGACGAAGAATGGTTTTATAGCTGTATAATATAGGATTATAAATTTAATATGTCTTGAGCTATGAAGTTGTAGTGAGTAGTCACAATCTATGAGGTATAAAGTTGTAGGGAGTAATCATATTATATGAGCAATAAAGTTATCTTATCAAAGCAGTGTATATTACCAAAAGACTCTATCAAATCTATGATTCCTTCTGCACTGCATCCTATATATTGTATCGGGCATTGTAGAAATGACAACCTCCATGAACAATTTAACACTCATGTATGAATCCTTCTAACTACCAAACACTGACTTAACAACCTTCAATCTAGCATCCCAAGCTTTCATATACGAAACCTTTATATTAAACTTTGCTTCAATTCGACCAACATATCTCCCTCAGCTTAAGTTCCATCAATTTTTTAATAGTATGAAGTATGAAGTAGCTTATAAATTGAGAATTACACTAACGATGGAACAACAAGAATAAGGCTTGCAAAAGTGTGTTGGTGCTTCATGGATGAAATTTTTCCATATTCCATCTAGACATTTTCTCAATCCAGCATGCAAACGTCACAAATAACAGGTTCCATAGCTCTCATGTTCAGCACACACAACTATAAATTTGTGTCGATTGGATACAATAATCACAAATTGAATATTATTCATTATCAATCATCCTTATAAAGCAAACAACATGTCTGATTTACTTTTTAAGCACACCCCCTCCATCAAGTATGTTGGTATTGAAAATTCCTCTTCAACCTACTTCCCTACATTTGAATCATCAAAAGTAATCTCCTTATCCCATTTCTAGATAGTAAGACAGGTTTCAACAAATTCATTAGTAGCAAACATGCATTCTTCAGACCTAATTGTCTTGAAACAATAGTTATGTATGAAGCCATGTATGTCACCATGCACACCCACATTTTCCTCATGCATATCACAAGGCACTTCGTCATCACGATCATGTCCTCACTAAACCCACTGCTCATAGTTTCAACCTTTGTCAACCATAACGGATGGTCGACTTGAAGGTCCTGTATGATCCTTTCATTGCTGAGTTTGCATGTCACTACATTAAAAGAGATAATGTTTATAATAATTTAGTAATACATCTACATACCTCAAATTTAGATTTTTGAATTTATAAGGATACTTAAGGCGCACATTACCATGTGTTGCTTCAATGGTACCCTCTACACCGAAAACTTTTTTCAAGTGTGATGATTCATTAACTTCCGGTGTCAGATTCTGAATACCAAGCATTGTTATGTTCAACTCCTCAAGTTCCACATACATCCTCAATAATTTGCTGGCAACATGAGATAATACAATTTTGCATAACTCCTCATCCTCAATATGTGAAGCAATAAACTCATTCCCCACCCGCATATGACAAAGTAACATGACTATATACTTCGAGGTGTCATACTTCAATACCTTTAAAACTCTTACCTTAAGTTGCTCTAAGTTCAAGCTTGTTGGGACTTCCAATGGACAAATCCGTCCCGTAATATAGGTCGGTGCAAAATTGTCATCCAACAATAATGCACCATCATATATCAGGACGAAGGAAGCTATAACACCACTCATTACTAAATTTCCCCGTTTCATTTGCAAATTGCTACTACAACTGCCAAATAATTAAGTCATGCTAAGGTGATGAAGGAGTAACAACATAATCTCATGCTTCATATACTAACTACCACAAAATATTTAAATATCTATATCAAAACCCTTTAACAGTGCCCGCGCTATTACTCAAATGATTGGATAAAAATTATACTTTCCAAAATAATTGTAATGCCTCATGAGCTCCAATAAACTTACAACAACAAACTTCAAAACCTATACACCTACAGACCATACATTACAAAATAAGCAAGATTTTTTTTTTTACTAACTAATACTTATAAAAAACTACCAACAAAAACTCAAAACTCATTCTAACATGCAAAACTTCCAATCCAAACAACTCATTATTACATTAAATCTATAAAATGTGTCCAATTTTTTTTCTTAACTCCACTAGCACAACAACAATAACTCTCAACTAAAAAACCTTAAAATTAAGCTTAAAAAAAAAAGATTAACGTGTTTATGCAAATCGGAGAACAGTCGGTATAGAGCTCGACGGGCGAAGACAACGGAGTGGAAAAAACAAAGGAAAGAGGAAGATGG